GTGGTTCCAAAAAGGACTCAGAGCCTTAAAACCACTTACAAACATTCCAATCCCAAAATAAGTGCTTCAAATATCTCTTAGCGGTTCCATAAGTGACTCAGAGACCTATAACAACTTTCAAACATTCAGATCTTAGAACAAGTGTTTTAACCCTCTCCTGGTGGTTCCAAAAAGGACTCAGAGACCTACAACCACTTTCAAACATTCAGATCCCAGAACAATTGTTTTAACCATCTCCTAGTGGTTCCAAAAAGGACTCAGAGCCTTAAAACCGCTTACAAACATTCCAATCCCAAAATAAGTGCTTCAAATATCTCTTAGTGGTTCCATAAGTGACTCAGAGAATCTACAACAACTTTCAAACATTCAGATCCTAGAACAAGTGTTTTAACCCTCTCCTGGTGGTTCCAAAAAGGACTCAGAGACCTACAACCGCTTTAAAACATTCAAATCTCAGAACAAGTGTTTCAACCATCTCTTAGTGGTTCTATAAGGGACTCAGAGACCTACAACCATTTTCAAACATTCAGATCCCAGAACAAGTGTTTTAACTATCTCTTAGTGGTTCCATAAGGGACTCAGAGACCTACAACCACTTTCAAACATTCAGATCCCAGAACAAGTGTTTTAACCATCTCCTAGCTGTTCCAAAAGGACTCAAAGACCTACAACCGCTTTCAAACATTCCAATCCCAGAACAAGCGTTTAAAACCATCTCTTAGTGGTTCCAAAAAATAGAGACGATCAGGTTCTTTAACAACAAACGGTGCTCCTTTCCTGGCGAGTAAATTAATGGAGAGGTGGGAGAGGCACACTCATGCCGGATAAAGGTAAGGAGGTAAAAGATAACGAGAGCAGAAAAATATTATCCACGCTAACAGCCAGGCATTGTCTTATTCAAAAGGAACCGTGATAAATAATACGCCAGCCTGGTTCAAACGAGATTGTGATGAATAAGACGCCAGTTATAGATAACAATTTTGCGAACATAAACAATCACTCCACTGACAGCCAGGAATAACCTGCATCAAGTGGGTACTTGATAATATCATGCCAGCGTTTGAGCAAAAATGAATATTCTTCCCACTGTTGCCAAAAATTCCCAGGAACTGTGGAAGCAGGAATACCTGGTCCAAACAGGTTCGTAGTAAACAGTAAAAATATGTAAGTTATACTATTTCGTAAAAACTTTCGATAAACTTAAACTGATCTATTTCAGCATGGACTGGCTCACTCCCGACTTCATTGATGTTTATATTGGGGCCTGTTTCATGCTGGATCATCAATAAAGCTGGACTAAGACTTTGCACAATGATTGCAGCATTCCTTGTCAGCCTGTCTCTTCTGATGACGTCATTCGCTACAAACTTGGACCTAGTCTTCATCTCGTTCAGCGTCCCTTTTGGGCTTGGTTCATCTGTTCTCCTAATGGCATCGGTAAAATCTGTGTGCATTTATTTTGATAAATGGTTATCTTTGGCATATGGTTAGTGTTTTCTAACATTTCTTTATTTAAAAGAAGCCCAAGGACGAGATTAAAATCGCTTCATCTTCGATTGGATAAATACGTTTCAATAACAAGTTATAACTTGAAGAAATCTAACGAAAGGGGGGCGAGAGTCTTTCGAACAACTAATGTGAAAGAGTGTTCAGTTTCTTCCTTTTACACAAAGACATTCATAAGAAAAACAGTCTCATTCACCTCTTCAGGTCTCCAAACTGGCTGTGTTGCACTTCTCCAAGCGGGTTTTTCAAGCCTTCTCGTTTTGCTACTAAAAGAAGTTAGATTTGAACGAACATTCCAAATACTATCAGCTGTATTTCTTGTTATCTGTCTGGCTGGTGGCTTGACATTTTGCCCAACTTCATATGAAGTAGATAAAGATGAGCCTGAAAAGAAAACAACGAATTTCCAAATATATATTAATTTACTGAAGAACAAGAAGATCTGCATCTTCCTTGTGGCTAACTTCATAGTGTCGTTCGCGTATGGTGTGTCTAGCATTCACCAGGTAAGACAATGCTTCACTACTTTTATATTTCTGATTTGGAATGACGTGAAAATTAAAAAATGCGCAGAAATTAGTTCATTCTAGAACTAACAATTTCTTGAAGGTTTCTTAAATACTTAATTTTAACGAGCTACTTATTAGAAACACAGAAATGCAATAAAAAGAACATCTGATCTATCAAATCGAGCAATTCTTGTTATTATCTATTTCAACTCGAAATGATCCTGAAATAAAATTTCGCCTTTCCATTGTAAGGCAAAATTTAAGAAATTAGAGTATTTGAACTACAGACCTACACAAATCTTGATAGGATACGAACAAGAAACAAGATAAGAACAAAAATTTTAAAAAACTTTAAAGCAAGAATTTTTGGTGTGATTTACGAAAACTCTTCTTTTTCTGCGCAAGAAACTTTGCTCTAATTCCTGTTTAAATGTTGGTATGATTGGGCACGATATCTAAAACTAATGCTTACTACGAGTTTTAGCACAACCAATTTTATATATTTTCCCAAAACATCGTAAGTGCTTGTACTTTGAACCTTAATGAATTTTGATTTTTCCTGGGGCCCTAAAACTGACGCCCTGTAACTAAGGCTCTAAAACTATATTTTTGATATACGATGTACCCTTGGGAGTCTTTTTGGCAACAGTATAGGATCATAAACTTCTAACGAACGCTCTTGACGAGACAGCACACTCACATTTTTTGCATTTTGTCAATATTTTTTTTCTTTGTATTCTGAAAGCAAAAATGTCTTCAACTTCCTCGTTTTTTCTTTTGAAAAATATGCACATTTGTTATATGAAAAGAAACCCTTTTCATGTTCTGCTTTATCAGCACTCAATCTATACTCTGTTTTCTTGCTCGTTTTAGGTACAACTTGCTGTAGAGAAAGGTGTCCAAGTGAGCACAGCCAAGCTGTTTCCCGTTTTTAGTTCTATTTCTTGTGGCTTAGGCCGCTTCTGCTGTGGGCTTTTACTTGACCTGAAAGTTCAGAAGAAAATCGCATTTTACCAGCTTGTGATGTTTTTAACTGGTTCAACCTGCTTTCTGGGACTATTTGCGACCACTGAAGGACACCTAATCGCATATATCTGGACATACTCCGCTCTTGATGGCATGGTACAAACATGCTGCACACCTTGCCTGCGGACTATAACGGGTTTAAAGTTTCTAGGAGAAGCGTATTCCATTTTCTAGGAGGTACTGACTGTAGACGCCGTGTCTCTCTTGCTAGGGCCACCTCTTGTGGGTATGTACATTTCTCGTTAGCAAGCAAGATTTAAGACACTTATAAAGTATTTTAATTGCCGACCGACCAAAACAAGATTTGGTAAAGCCTTTGGTGCGACAGGATTATTTTTTGTTAAAGTCAACGGGTAGCCATGTTCCAATCAGCATCGTTATCTTGTTTTTTCATAATGTACTTTTTAGACTGACTATACAAATGTGAACACCTTAAGCCAATGATCTCAGATTCTGAAGGTCTCCTTCTCGCTACGTATAAACGCACGGGAGAGAGGGGGAGGGGTGGAGAGCATACTATGCGTACATATAAACAGTCCCTAATAATCATATTAGCACACTCTTGCTGCTCCAATGTCATTGCGGTGTAGGGTAACCACCACTGTTTCTTGCTGTACTTAGGCTGCGTTTACGCTGTACGGGGCTCGATGAACATTTGGTCGACCAAAAATTTGCCTGCTTCTGATGTCGGCCGCAAATGATTTCACTCAGGCGTTGCGGGGCCGCCCAAGTGGTTGAATTCTTATGACATGCGCATTGTGTCAAAAATTGTCGCAAAAGATCATTGTAAATGTGACATACATGCATCAATGTTCGAAGTCCTTTGGGAGAAATCCACGAAAAACAAGACCAGTTTGATCTCGGCTTCATAACTGTATCACTAATTCGGTTACAACGAAATATAAATGTTTCTTATCGGTCTAAGAAAACCTTAACTTATCTCTTGTTTTCTCCCCACTCCTTTTTACAATAATTCACTCCTCTCCCTCTTGCATATCTCTGGGTCTAGCCCCTTTATTGTCCTGTCTTTTTATTAAATTTTACCGGGAGTAAACCCTCGGTGTACCCCGGGTGTACCTCGAGCCCTCACATAAACAAAGAGCTAACAAAACAAACTCTGTTCTTGTGTGCTCTCTCATTCTCTGTTCTCGTGTGCTCTCTCATTCTCTGTTCTCGTGTGCTGTCTCATTCTCTGCTCTCTCGTGCTCTCTAATTATCTGTTCTCGTGTACTTTCTTCGCAAAATGCTGTTTAAAGAGGATGGCTGGCAAAAGTGCTACCAATGACTGCAACGACGTTTGCTATGCTTTTTAGAATTGTCATGAATGCTAAAATGAATCTTTTGACGAAAGGTCATGCACATTTTTAGCAAAGTAAACAACAAAGAAAAAGTTACGAACATAAAATCTAACCAGTGACTCTAAACAACAACAATACATCCATTTTCGGCCCCAGGCTTTGATTAACCATTTTACGTTTGCCTCTTTACTACGCATCGACAATCCTATTTTGTTACTGTGCAGATATTTGGCAGATGTTGTTTAGACCGTTGTTTAAACAGAGTTAATCACCCGTCCGAAACTGCACCTAAGCCTCGCAATAATGTGGCGGCTAAAGAAGACTGGGCCCTGGCATCCGGGACTTTGCTGGTAGGCGTTCTAACTCGTGCTCTCTGGTTAGGCTCCCTCTTGGCTCTAGCTTGCCAAAAAACGGTTGTTTGGCTTCTAGGAGCGAATAATTTTAAAGTTTCCCTCCCACCCACCAACTGATTCTCACTTCCTTTTCTTCCTTCAATCTGGTTGTCATTCTTTTCCCGAAGACCTTTTCGTCATTTGGGCTGGTGCATCAGGCGGGAAAATGTTTCCCATTGGTGACACCGACCTTTAAAATTGGTATTCTCCAGGCAGTATAAGGGCTAGTGCACCTAGCAAGCCCACTTCCTGGAATTTAAGTTAGGATTCAAAGTTTTAGATCAAATTGTAGGCTATTTCTGGCTTAGTGCATCCCTTGTCCCGTTGACCCCCCTTCTACCCTTGTTTAATAGCATGTTGTTCCATAAGTGTCTTTTAGAATCGGTTTAATTGATTATTCTTGAGGAGGGTAGGATTAATAACGCTCGCCAGCCGAGATTAAAGAAGGATGTTCTCTTAGGTTCCCGAAAATTTACACGCCTAAGTGACCTAATGTGAGGTCGTTTAGCCGGTCCCGTGTAAGCGCAAGACCTAAGTGACCAAATATTTGACGGATCAAATGTTCGGCCGGTATACGCAGCATTAGCCTTATAAGTACGTCGCGGGAGATGAGCGCAGGAACTATATGACTCTTTCTACTTGGACACTAATAAGAAACTTTCCCAACAAATTGAGAAACATGTATACCTTTTTTTATATATTA